TAAAGTAACTGCAATTGTTCCTCTGCACACACGCAACAATACAAACAGTGGAGCAGTCACTTTATGGGGAATGCCTTTGTACCAAACATACTTTCATCATTCAAGTGTTGTCACTTTTGTAATATTAACATAAAGCAAAGTAAAAATAATACAATTGCACACTTCAGAATTGATCAAGCTCTCTCTCAAGTGTATTGCCAACCAGCAAGTGACATTCTAGGTGTCAAGAACAAAAAGCAACATAACGAAAGACCAGTTTCCTCCATTGAGTCATCATATATCCTTAGTTGTGTAGAATCTTTGTCAAAGTGATTTACTTGTAATTCCTACTTAGCTTAGTTAGAAGCATTGTGTAGGAAACCTTTGTAAAATCATAAATTATGTGTTTGTGTCTTAGCTAGAGTTAGTCGAATTATAAGCTTTGTAATAGAGTTATTACAAAGAGGCTTGTAATAGAGTTATTACAAGTTAGTGAGGGATTAAGAGCTTAATTCCTAGGTTACAATAGCTTGTAATCTGAAGTTTGCTTAGTAGTGTAGTTGAATTCCTACAAGGGTAGGTCGCGGTATTTTTATCCCGTGAGTTGGGAGTTTTCCACGTAAAACTCTATTATGTTATTTACTTACAGCTGTGTGAGTGTGTTCTGTGGGACCTAATAGAGAACCTGGTTCTCTACATAAGTTTGGTGGACTCTTAATTTCTATCAATTGGTATCAGAGCGAGTTTTTTCTATCAGGCAAACACCTAGAAAGGATCCTCATGGCTGCTCCACCAAACTTTGAAGAAGGTCAATCTAACTACAGACCATAAATATTTAATGGCCAATACTATGGATGATGGAAGACAAGGATGCATGATTTTATCATGGCTGAAGACTCAGAACTTTAGAGTGTCATCTGCGATGGTCCTTTTGTTCCTATGAAGACCATTGGTGAACCAGCAGTGTTAGTGCCCAAGACTAGGAAAGAATACAATGATGCTGATAAAAAGGCTATCGAGAAGAACTTCCGGCCAAAAAGATCCTTGTCTGTGGCATTGGACCAGGCGAATACAACTGGATTTTTGCCTGCCAATCTGCCAAGGAGATCTGGGAAGCTCTCCAAATAGCACACGAAGGGACTACTCAAGTCAAGCAGTCGAAGATTGATATGCTAACCACTGAGTATGAGCTATTCAAGATGAAGGACGATGAGTCCATTTAGGACATGCACACTCGCTTTACTTCTATCATCAATGAGCTCCATTCTCTGGGTAAAATCATTCCAAGAAACAAGCTTGTCAGAAAAATACTCAGCGTATTTCCTGGATCCTAGGAAATCAAAGTAAATACTATCAAAGAGGCAAAGGATCTACAATTGCTGACCATTGACGAACTCATTGGTAATCTGAAAACCTATAAAATGAAGAAGAAAAAGGATCATGAGAGAAGAGATCCCAAAAGGGAGAAGAACTTGGTCCTCAAGACAGATAACAATGAATCAAGTGGTGAGGATGCTGATATGGCTTACCTGACAAAGAGATTTTTGAAGATGGTTTGCATAAATTGAGGTATTCCAAAGAAGGGCAGCTCAAGCAATACAAGAGGATATGACTTGTTTCATAAATGTGGGAAACTAGGACATTTTATCAAGGATTGTCCCCTCCTTAAGCACAACACAGACAAAACAACCAAGAGGAACCCGGTTCCTGACAAAAGATTCAAAAGAAAAGAAGCCGCTGACAATGTTGTGAAACGAGCTCTTGATGCATGGGGAGATTCTTCCAGCGAATCTGGTGAAGATGATGCACAACATGACACATCTTTGATGGCATTCAAAAGTGATGCAGATTATTATGACTCTATCTTTGCCCTAATAGCGCAATCTGGCGATGATGAACACAATGACGATGATGAGGTAAATTTTCTAGATGTTCAGAGAAATCTGAAGTCTTACTCTCAAAAAAAGCTCATATCCTTGGGGAAATGCTTTAATTGACGCTTATCACAATCTTATAAACGATAAAAATGCCTTAACTATAGAGTTAGGAGAGGTACAAAATAAGAGAGATGATTTGGTAGTTGTAGTGGCCGACCTAAAAGAAACCATCGAGAATCTAGTGAAAGAAAAACGTGTTCTGATTAAGAAGGCTGAAAACATAGAGAATAAGAGAGATGACTTATTAGTAGTTATCATGGACCTAAAAGAAACAATAGAAGAATTAAAAAAGGGAAACAGTTTTGGGACTATCCAAAAGGGGAAGTGAGGCACACATTAAGCTTGAAAATGAACTACAATCTGTGAAGTCTAGTCTGTGTGCGAAACTTGAAAGAAACAGGCAACTTCAAGAAGACCTAGGCAGAGCTAAAAGTGACCTCGAAAAATCTCTAAAGTGGACCTGGTCCTCTAATACAACTGCTGCCATGTATACAAACAATGGTGGGAACAGGCAGGGCGTCGGGTTCCAAAGAGAAAAGGCTCGCTACAATCCACATAGCAAGTATGTTACCGTCTCTGATAACTGGCTTTGCACTCACTGTGGCAACACTGGTCACTTTAAAGAAAACTGTAAGGCTAGAATTCAGTCCCAACAGAAAAACAAGGTGTTTATTGAAAAGGCAACTACTGCTAAGGAGCATGGTTCCTCCCTTAAAAAACGTATGTTGCCTGACTAGAAAAAAAGAAGTTTAATTCGACCCTTTCCTCACTACAAGGGACCCAAACTTGGTTGGGTTCCTAAGTCTAATCCTTGATTCTCTTATACAGGGAGCAGTGAAAGGAAGCAGTAAAAAATGACACATGGATAGTGGTTTTTCTAAGCACATGACTGGAAGCATCGATGATTTCCTTTCACTCAAAGCCCTGCAAGGAGGGAGTGTGTCCTTTGGCAATGACAAAAATGGTTACATTCTGATAGTAGGAAGAATTATAAAGTCACTCATATGTGAACGGCTTGAAATATAGACTACTGAGTGTTTCCCAAATCTGCGACAAAGGAAACAAAGTGGAATTTGTGTCAAAAGTCTACACATTTACAAACTTTGTGACTGGTGAAGTGATCGTGATGACAAAAAGATACAAGAACATTTATGTTGCTGATTTTGAGTCCCTGCAAAATGGGGATCTCACTCGCTTGAGTGTTGTTGATGATGATGCTGAACTATGGCACAGAAGATTGGGTCATGCAAGTTTTACGTTGCTAAACAAACTGGTTAGGAAGGACCTGGTTTGTGGCCTACCGATGTCAAGTTTCAAAGACCACAAGGTGTGTGATGCATGTGTAAAAGTAAAGCAAGTCAGGTCTTCTTTCAAGCCCAAAAAGGATGTTAGCACCTCAAGGCCACTCGATCTCCTCCATATGGATCTGTGTGAACCTATGAGGATGCCAAGTAGAGGAGGAAAGAAGTACATTTTTGTTATAGTGGATGACTATTCTAGATTCACACGGACCCTGTTCCTCAAAACCAAGGATGAAACTTTTTCAGTTTTTGTTGCTTTCATGAAGAAGATCCAAGTGAAGGTGAGCCACAATGTTGCGTGCATAAGATCTGATCATGGCACAGAGTTCGATAATGCAAAATTCGACGAATTCTGTACTGAAAATGGCATAAGTCATAATTTTTCAACTCCAAGAACACCTCAACAAAATGGTGTTGTGGAGAGAAAAAATAGGACTCTTGAAGACATGGCAGGAACAATGTTGATTGATAGTGGCATTGCAAAACATTTCTGGGGAGAAACAGTCAACACTGCATGCTACTTGGTGAACATGTGCATGATCAGGTCCCTCCTAAACAAGACCCCATATAAACTGTTGAACGGGAGGAAACCCAAGCTGACACATTTAAGGACATTTGGTTGCAAATTTTTTGTTCTCAATAATGGCAAGGAAGCACTTGGAAAATTCGATGCCAAAAGTGATGAAGGAATCTTTCTGGGCTATTCATCACAAATCAAAGCCGACAAAGTATACAATAAAAGAACTCAATGTGTTGAGGAAAGCATACATGTGATCTTTGATGAATCTCACCACCCTTGTGGGAAAGATTCACATGATAAGACTGATCAAGAGGGAGAACAGTCAGTTGTTTCTGGTGAAGTCATAGACATGGCAAATGGTAAGGTTGACATGATGAGTCACGTCAAGGAATCAAATAATGATGGTGTAGCTATATCTCCAACTAATGTAGAGGAACCTGGTTCCTCAATCACAACAACTGAAGCTGAGAACAGAGTTGTGGATGTTGTCCAAGGAACCCCACATGTTGATCTGAGAAGCGGTACTCACGACAACCAAGGATCACATTCAGAAATACCTGGACCCTCTCACAATGAGATTCAGGTGTCTAGCTGGAAGCACAAAAGTTCACACCATCTTGAAAATGTGATCACTCCTCTTGACTCAGGGATTCAAACGAGATCAAAGTCAAGAAACTCACTTGCCTCTTCAGCCTTTCTGTCTCAAATTGAGCCCAAAAATATCAAGGAAGCATTGAAAGATGTTGACTAGATTACGGCTATATAAGAAGAACTCCATCAATTTGAGAGGAACAGTGTATGGCACCTGGTTCCACGACATGCTGACAGAACTGTAATAGGAACCAGGTGGGTATATAGAAACAAACTTGAAGAGTTTGGAAACACAACAATGAACAAGGCAAGGCTGGTAGTTCAAGGCTACAATCAGGAAGAAGGGATTGACTATGATGAAACCTTTGCTCCAGTTGCTCGAATAGAGGCCATCAAAATCCTCATTGCCTTTGCATCTCATATGGAATTCAAATTGTTTCAAATGGATATCAAAAGTGCATTTCTGGATGGTTTTCTAAAAGAAGAAGTCTTTGTCAAGCAACCACCTATTTTACAAGAGAAAAAATTGACAACACCTTATTTCTGAAGAAACGGGGGAGGAACCTACTCATTGTGCAAGTCTATGTTGATGACATCATATTTGGAGCAACAAATGATTCTATGTGAAAATAATTTGCAAGGCTTATGTGAAGTGGGGTTGAAATGAGCATGATGGGAGAATTGAATTTCGTCTTGGGGCTACAAGTCAAGCAAACTCCTAAGGGCACAATGATAAGTCAGCAGAAGTACATCAAAGAACTTCTGAAGAGATTTAAAATGGAAAGATCAAAAATCATTGATACTCCTATTGTCACTGCCACTCATCTGGACTTGAATGAACCTGGTTTTCCTGTGAATGAGACCATGTATAGAGGTATCATCGGGTCACTCCTGTATCTCATAGCAAGCAGACCAGATATTGTTTTCAGTGTGGGACTCTGTACCAGGGTTCAATCTAATCCAAAGGAATCTTATCTAAAAGCTGCCAAGAGAATCTTGAGGTATCTTAAAGGAACGCAGGACCTGGTTCTCTACTATCCCTCAGGCGACAGTTTTGATTTAATCGGGTATGCTGATGCTGATTATGCTAGTTAACTGGTAGATAGGAAAAACACTTCTGGCATGGCACATTTTCTAGGTTCATGTCTAGTCTCATGGGGTACAAGAAAATAAAACTCAGTGGCTCTTTCAACTACAGAAGTTGAATATGTGGTGGTTGCCTCTTGTTGTGCTCAACTGTTGTAGATCAAGCAGCAGCTGGAAGATTTTGGTGTGTTTTCTGATTATGTGCCCTTATTATATGACAACACCAGTGCTCTCAACATGAAAGAATCCAGTTCAACATAAGAGAAAAAATCACATTGATGTGCGACAACACTTCCTCGGAGACAATGTTGAAAAGGGTTAATCTGCATGAAGTTTTGTAGCACAGAAGATCAAATTGCAGATACCTTCACCAAAGCACTAAGTAGAGAGCACTTTGAAAAGAATCATATGGCACTGGGGTTGATAAAATCAAGCTAAGGACCTGGTCCCTCGATGATTGGTTATGAAAGAAATGAACAGGTAAATAGCTAAAAAGTGTTTTCTGGAAATGTCTAACTCATCTCTATGTCGTTGCAGGTAGACACGCATGACGATTACAAAGCAAACGAGTAGCTAATGGTATCGCACTTTGGTCAAAGGAAGAAGTTCACATTTACAAAATATGTCAGGGAACCTGGTTCCCTTGACACATGTTAGTAGTTACTCTGTACTCTCATCCACAACTTTTTAACGGCTAAAATGATGCCACGTCATTAAAGTTTCAGTTTCTTTTTGTTTGAACACAAGCGTCCTACCCGTTATGAAACGATCCATATACCCAAAAATTGATACCCGCTCCTAACTAGTCCCACATCTTTTCTAAATAAATTCACACACGGTCACTTTCATAACTGTTCACATCACAAGCCAAAATTTCCCTTTTTCTTAAACAACCAAACACTCTCTTTTTCCATCAACTCTCACTACATTTCACCATGTCTGAAAATCTCGAAGCCAAAATTGTTTCAAGCATTGTCCCTACTGCATCATCATCTGTCGAAGCACCAGCGATAGAGCCTACGACCCTTACGCCACCCAGTCCAAACCCTAAGGTCGAATCACAAACACCCATTGTCTCTTCTCCAACCCAATCCAGTACAAGTTCTCATCGGAGTCGCAAAACCTCGACTCCCAAGAAATTTGTGGCTACGACCTCTCCTTCTGCCTCGTCGAAAAAAATGGTGGAAGAAGATATAGTTGAGGGAGAAGAAAATTAGGAAATTTCTAGTCTTCCAGTGGAAGAAAGTTCTGAGATACAACACGGCGTGGGTCGTAATAGTGATGCATCAGCAATCACTACCCCAGGCCCTGATTTGAATGTCGCCGATTCTACAGGTAATGCTCCTTATGTGCCTTCTGAGTTTCCTTGGGGGTTAGAAGAACAAGAGACCATAGAAAATATGTTGTCAATAGATGCTCATGGGTGTGTGAATGGTTTCTATGAAGGTGTGTCTGAAACCAATGGGTCTCAGGGGGAAAGTGAGAGTCTATAGGAAGAGGGTAGGGAACTGGTGCCTATCGAAAATTTTGAACCTGAAAGTACTACTAGGGAACCACTCGAGGGACCTGGTCACTTTGCCCAAGAGGTTCCCTCTGCTCCTACTTGGGATGAAACCCCCTATTCTTCAAAAGAACCCCGGGTCAGTACTGATCCCAGTCTCTCTCCTCATTTCTATGCTGAGCCACTGACCATTGTTCTTCCAGAAATGAGATCTCTGTCAGATGAGAAGGGTGAGGTAAGTGAAGAGGACTATGATAATGTGGATATTGCAAGCTTTATTAGTGCTAGGAGTATAAGGGCAACTCCCAAAATACCCACTCCTAAAAGACCTACTACTAGGATGCAAAAGAAGGGAGCTCTTAAGTCTGCTTTGAAGAATAGTAAGAAAGAAAAGAAGTAAAGAAGGTTGATGAAGGGTGGAAAGCTAGTTCATGAAGAGGTAGTACCTATAACACTTATTGTTGGCAGTGATGACGAAGTGGGGGAGGACCCCAGTCCTTTAATTCGTAAATCCTCTAACAAACCTATTGTTCAAAAGTATGGGAAAGAGCCATCCAAGAGAGTGATGGAGGTTAGCAATGTTGCGGTGAGTGAGTCTAGAGAAAAAATGGCTGAAGGGTCTGGTAAGAACGTGTCTGCGAAATATGTGTCTGGGAAGATATCTGAGAAATCTGCTGAGAAGGGAAAAAGTGTAAAGAAATCTATGAAGAGGAAAGCTGGCACAAAAGAGGGACTTGGTTCCTCGAAAAAGGCCAAGGTCAGTATGACCAAGGATGTTGGAAGGGAAAATCTGAGGAAACAGAAAGTGCTTTGGGGCTGAACCTTTGCTCCTGATATTCTTGACATGACGGGAATGCGACAACTGGTTAAAATTTGTGAATTTCAACAGTTGACACATATGTTCACACATGAGAGTCCCAAAGTGTATGAGGCCGAGATACGTAGTTTCTATTCCGATATGTTCACTATTGATGATGATAACATCTGCTTGAAGGTAAATGGGGTTGACTTTGTGATTGATGAGGCTGTGTTGGGAACCATCTTAGAATTGCCTACTGATGGTATATCGTCCATCGAAGGGACTTGCTCTTCAAACTTCAGAAATGCCATTCTGAAGGATGATGCAGTCCACTAGGGGGAACGGGTGCGCAAGAAGGCCCTCCTTCCGGTGACTGCTATTCGAAATGGTGAACAAGGTGTTTCTCCATCATGCAGAAAGGCGTTCTATTACATCACGAGCAGAATTGTTCCTCATGGAAGCACTGGATGCATACTCTACTATAAATCTGTCGGGAATCATGATTGAGCACATGAAAAAAGTAGCAGATTTTAAGGATGGTAATCATGGGCTGCCCTATGGGTTTTTTCTCACCAAAGTTTTTGAGTTCTTTAAAGTTCCCCTGGGAAAGGCCACCATGGGTACTCGCAAGCAGAGTTTCTCCTAAACCACCTTGGAAGAGTGTGAGTGCATTGATAAGAAAAGAGGGGTTGGCAGCAATTCCACTATCTCTCAACTGATTGAAGCTCAGAATATCGCTAATAAAGAGATAAGGAAGTTGAAGGCAAGGAATGTTATCCTTGAGGGTCAGCTTAGTCAGGCCCAGGAGGCACCTGGTTCCAGTAGCTCACAAAGCACAGAGGTTGCTCGCTTGACCAACGAAAATGCTGCTCTCAAGAAATAGGTCGAGGACCTGAAGGAGAGGTTGCCCAATAAGCAAGGGTCTGTAAATGCTCGAATGGATATCCTCCTTAGAACTCTTGCATCTTCCTCTCTGCCTCCCCCTTCTAGTGCTCCCACTACTAGAAATCTTCTAAACACCGACCAAAAAAACCAACCAAAGTTGGTCAGTTATGGCCAATTACCGACCAAAACGTGACTATTTATGTGTGGGCGATATTTTGACAGCCGGAAAGGCATACCGATCAAAGTTGGTCGAAAATTACCGACCAATGTTGGTCGGTCAATTAAATTCAAAAAACAAAATATTGCAAAAAATCCGACCAAAGTTGGTCGATTTTTTAATTATGTAATCAAAAGATTCACTATTTGGGAATCGAACCGGGGTCTGTACTGTGGCAGGATACTATTCTACCACTAGACCATTGGTGCATTTTATTTTAAGACTGTCTTTTATTTGATATATACTCTTTAATTGTATTTTCGCACGAAAATAACCGACCAAAGTTGGTCGGTTTTATTAAAAAATAAAATTACTGACCAAACTTTGTCGGTTTTTTAAAATGACCGGCCGAATTAACCAACCAATTTTGGTCCATTTTTTTAATATTAATTTTTATTTAGTTTAATTGAAAAACCGACCAAAGTTGGTCGGTTTTATTAAAAAATAAAATTACTGACCAAACTTTGTCGGTTTTTTAAAATGACCGGCCGAATTAACCAACCAATTTTGGTCCATTTTTTTAATATTAATTTTTATTTAGTTTAATTGAAAAACCGACCAAAGTTGGTCGGTTTCTTGAAAAATAAATTTTGCGGGACTCAAAAATAGTTTCTCGAATTTTTGCGCCAAAGAAAACTGACCAAAGTTGGTTGGTTTCGTAAAAAAAAATTAAAAACTAAAATATTTTGAAAAATCGACCAACTTTGGTCGGTTTTTTGGACGGTTTTTTGACCAATCAAAGTTGGTCGATCAACCTTGGTCGGTTTTTGCCGAATTTCTAGTAGTGTCCTTAGAATCATTCCCTTCCCAAGTGTCAAGTTCAAGTTCAAGTTGTTTCTATTTCGTGTGTTTGGATATGTTTGATGACTAGTACCTTTTTGTTATTTTTATTTTGTGGTGATTGTGTAACAATGGAACTGCTCCCTGTTTATTTCTAAAATTAATGAATTTCTCGTCTTTTTGTTGTGCTTACCTTATTTTTCTACTCTATTTTTAGTCATGATTGTATGCACACATGTGGCATTAGTTAACCAGGCTAGACTTCTTTTTTGCTTATTGCTTGTGCCTAATCTTTTTATGATGCCAAAAGGGGGAACAAGAGGGGGAACAAGCATAGTCTTAGGGGGAATCAACTACAAGTTTGTCATCATCAAAAAGGGAGAAATTGATAAGTTATGTGTCTTGCTATGTTTTGATGATCTAAAAGACTTTGTTGAGAAACAGATGGGGAACCTGTTCCACATTCTCTTAGTGCTCAAAGATCAACAAACCTCAAGTCTGGGACACGTTCAACATTCAGGGTTCAAGAAACAACAGAGGGAACAGATCAAAATCAGTTCCCTTACTGACAGTACCAGTCAACTCCCCACAACTGTAAAGTGACTACAACTGTTCCACTGCACACATGCAACAGTACAAACAGTAGAGCAGTCACTTTATGGGGAATGCCTTTGTACCAAACATGCTTGCATCATTCAAGTGATGTCACTTATGTAATATTAACATAAAGCAAAGCAAAAATAATACACTTGCACACTCCAGAATTGATCAAGCTCTCTCTCAAGTGTATTGTCAACCAGCAAGTGACATTCAAGGCGTCAAGAATA